CGTGGAATGGCGCGCATGGCAAGACTGGATCGCTACTCTTCCCGGCGGTGGTCGCTGGCTCAACGATCTCTACGCTGCTTTGGACCTAGCCGAGCCCGATGATCCGGAAGCGTGGGCGGTGAAATACTGCAAACACGGCGACAACAAGCGGTGGGCACAGCGAATCCCTGCTGGGTGGAAGATGCTGGGAGATCATTACCGCATCGCCCGGGCCCTGACGACTGCCCAATACGACTACCTGCGCTCTCTGCCCCTTGTGCTTCATGTGCCAAGCGCACACACGTTCATTACTCATGCGGGACTATTACCTTCGGACCCTCGCTATCGGCCGACCCACTCACGTCAGCCGCTGGCCCATGTACCTTCTATCCCTACAGCCTGGCTGAAAAGTGGAACGGGGAGTTACGGCAAGGAAGCCGATTCGGATTCCATTGAGATGCTGCGGCACTTACAGGAAATCGCAATCCTTCGAGACGTTCCGCAGAACTCCGATCCCTGGGTGACGCTGAACATGCGCGGTGTTCTGGACGACCATTCGATAACTAGAGACACCGATGGGACACCTTGGGCGGAGATATGGAACCGTGACATGGAGATGTGCGCGGGGTTCGGTTCCGCAGCACATGGCAAGAAACTGCCATGTCATCCCGCTAGCGTAATCTACGGGCACGCTGCTTCACGGGGGCTCGATCCCAAGCGCTGGTCTACAGGACTAGATTCTGGATGTGTGAGTGCCACATTCGTCAGGAGAAGTCCCGAGTTCTCACGCCACCCAGGTCAAGGGCAAGCGACTGTCAGCGATGATAATCGAAGCCAAGACATACAAACAATCCTTCGATGCGGCTAAAGCCACTGTCCCATTTGGCATAGGCAGTGCACGTCTCCTCAGTGTGGCCTGCTAGAGATAGCTTTGAATCACTCAACTTCTTGTAATACTCGCTAACTATTTGTATACCGATCCGTTGTAATTATAGAATCAGCAGATGAACATCAATGAAGTATCCTGGGCGGCCTTCAGTCTCCAGGCACAGACAGGGTACAGTGAACAAACTTACCATGGGATGAGAGCTGGACAGTTGCGGTTTCTGAGAATATTTGCTGCGCAAGATATCACGCAATGAGTTCAACAACTGTTGATAACTCTGATTCTTGTTCTGGGTTAAAGCAGTCATGAAAGCCTAGCGCAGTTGTCACCCGATGCCAGCCACCTCGAGCGGAGAACTTACATAACTCATGGCCCCGGTCGCCTGGCCGGCTTCGACTGCATCAGCACTCGTCTGTTGTTCACGTCAAGAAAGAAGGCAAGAAACGAGGAACAACCGGTCGAACCTGGGAATCCTTGCACCCAGAAAAGGAGATGGCATCAGCAGGACTGGTTCTCGTCGCCCGAGAGTACTGCTCCGCCTTTTGCCCATTGCCCGTCGCGGTCTTGAACAATCCCATCGCCGAGGAGAGTGCTCCACCGATATCTCCACCAGCATAAGCGGTCAACGTATTCTTCAATCCAGTGCCGGCTTGAGCCATCAGATTGGGTTCCTTGAGTTTACCCTCCGTCGAATACTGATCCAATTATTGTTAATAGAATGGCACATTGGAAGGGGATCGGCGACTCGCCAGGTAAGGAAGATCTTCCAATCAAGTCAGAATGTGAAGTCATGTGAATATGAGCATACGCACCCAGCACCGATCCCGAATGACAGGACTGTTTAATATCGTAAGCTGGAAGCCAAAGCACACAGACAAACAACTGACGTCGAAGATTGCAGTGAGTCGACAGCCTGCCGGAAGAGGCCGAACCATGATTTCGTGCAGCAACTGCAAAAGGATTGTCAGGGCGGGTCGAGAACAGCTAAAAGCGGAAATCACATCATCAACAATGTGCCCGTTGTCCTGGAAGTCGACAGGATAAATGACTACGGAGATGAGACTGTGCCGCACATCGTCCAGTTGGCAAACGGACCTTCGTCTTGACCATCCTCCTCGTCGCCGTCCATGTCTTTCGTTTGACCGCCATGACCACTGTCTGCTCAGGAGTCAACCCAAAGGTTATAGGGCAGCGGACTGAGCGTACAATGGAAGAAGAGCGAATCATTGGGAGCAGCTCCTCTGACCAGCCATTGCATCGCATTGAGCTACATTCAAGGGTCAGAATGGTCGTTCTAGGCGGCGGTCGTCGACGCACGATGTTCTCCTTATTGGGCACCTGCTGCGGGTTTTGCGAATCATCAGTCAGCATCACGATGTCGTCCATCCGGTACCCAAAGTGATCTGACATTCCATGGGCGATCGACGGTGAAATCTTAATTATCACATACCGCATAGGAAGCGCTGGATGTTTCGAGCGTCGTTGATACATCCCCGCAGCTCAGCGGATTGCCCAAAGTAGTTGATACCGATCTAAATGGCACTTGATTCAAGACGCCGAGAGATAGAGCATTGGGACAACTCACACACAGAGCCTTCTTCTTACCCGTCTGGAAACAACGTCAGCAACTGGGGTTGAATAGATGGGTGGTTGTAACGCACACATTGTGAATACTGGAAGTAAGGCTGCTGGCCACCCTGGGGACCATAATTCTGGTATCCCGAAGGTGGCATAGGTGGTGGGCCAGGGGGAGGAGCATAGGACGACTGGTGATGTGCGAATCTGAGGAAAGTTCCCGTGAGCGAGATGAATATCCCGATTGAACCTGCGAACGAACGGAGGTGGCCCAGAAGGAGGCGAAAATTGGCCTGGATAGCCACCGCCCTGATGATGAGGCGGCGGGTGTTGTTGATGATACTGCTGTCCAGGGTAACTGCCTCGGTTGACAGGGGGCGGGGGAGGTCCCGACGGAGGCCCGTAGCTGGATGGACTTGAATTCACGGAATCGCCCTGCAATTGAAAATACCCTTACGAGCCGGATCTAGAGAGAAACAGATGAGCATGGCGATCGTGAGATGTGGTAGACGAACCCCGGGAATGGCGGTCCCCCAGATCTTTAGATGCGGAGTACATGTCAGCGTACGAGAAACAAAGAAATGATGTCGGTGTCTACCCGTGAGGTGGAGGCCCCGGCGGAGGACCGTAACTGATGTAGTCAGTGCGAGTAACCTGAGACCGGGGAGCACGCACCCATGAGGAGGAGGGGGGCCCGAGGGCGGCGCATAGCTCGGGTTATATCCTCCGCCCGGAGGCCCGTATTGGCCTCCAGGAGACGATCCGTAAGGATTACTGAGAGAGCGGTCGGCGAGGCGGTGTAGAACGGACGAGTCTTACGCGTTCGGGAAGCTGTTCAGATCGTAAGTCTCGGCATCAAATAGCCAGCGCCACAACACGCACCCTGGTGGAGGTGTTCCGTATCCTTGGTTGTTGTTGTACATATCGAAAACGATGCGGAATGAGAGCACGAAGTGAGGGAAAGTAGACAAGAGTCTCAGTGGCTGTGATGATTGAAAGGCTACAGCAGCACAGCCTCCCCGGCTGTCAACCGCTTGTCATCGCTGTCCAGCTGGCTCGAGCCGGTGTTTGCAAGGCGTCGTTCATAGCCGTGAAATGCACAGAAAGGAGTTTCACGCAACTTCATCGAGTGTATTCATCGATATTTCACAAACAATTCGAGTCAGGTATTCCGCGCATTCGGTCAAAGCAATCTGATTCTCAATCATACCAAGACATTTCATCTCAGTATCAGCGACAAGGCCGCTAAGCCCACCGCAGCTTGTAAGTTCTCCCGAAGGTCAGCAGTCATAACCGGCGTCACACATAACACACGAGCAGTCGACAAGTACTGACATACTGCAATCACTTACTCACACCTCGGTCAAAGTTACCCAGTCATTGGCGGCTGGGCACCATAAGCCTCCCCCTCCCCTTGTCCTTCTCCAGCTGTTCAAGCGGATTCAAAAATTCGGGAAACTGTGCCAACTCAGGACTTGACCATATGGACGCGCCAAAGCAATCTGCTGTACCAAGAGATCCGGCCTACCATCAGGTGACCTGACCACGTGACCGTGACACGGCGCGAACTCAGGTTGTATCGGCGAACGAAGTCGGTCTGAGGCGTTCACTGGTGAATGCATGGTCGACCGACAGATAGCGATGCGGATCAAGATCGCCCCTGAACACAGTTTACGAGTCAATTCCCACTCTGTTGACATTGTGGAAACATTCCCTTTATCAATTCCTTCCAAGTTTTGTCGAATCGAAGAACAACGATGTAGGACGCAGTCGTAGAAAACGTTCGAGACTCAAGTCTTAGGGTTTGACGTAGTAATCATACTGAGTAAACATCCAGACAAGCGATGTAGCTGAGAGTGGGTGTAAACCAAGGTAGGGAAAGAGATGGCAATTCTCACTGGAAACAATCACAGGACTGATGACACCAGGGTTGAGCGTCGCGGTCCTGAATATCAGCAGCTCGGAGCCAAAGTGTCCGAATGCGATGAGGTACGTGAACAGGGCCATATCATAGGCACTGACAAAAAGGGGATAGGCATCAGAAAAAGAGGACAGCGAAAGCGGGGGCGAACACACATCTTTTCTCGCAGGTGGTATGCAGCATAGAAGCGCACAACAGCCGAAGTGAGCGTCCAAACTGCGAAAGTTCGCGCTTGAAGTGCCGTGACTGTCCCTGAGGTGAACTCTATTGTGCGATCGAGCAGGAAGCTGTGATACCCGGCTCAGTCGAGGACACGTTGTTGTAGATTCGTTTGGTCAGCTTGAGTGTAACCAAGTTTTGAATGCTATTGAACACTGCCATGACGGACACCAGGAGCTGCCACGAGGGAAGCCAGCCATCATCTTGAGGCAAAACTGGGGAATGCCTATGAGCTTAATCTCGGATCGAGAGTGGAACGCAGACAGGAGGCGAGCCAGGACATGGTAGAACAGGAAAAGGAGCGAACGAGTTGCGCGTACGTACGTAACAACAACTGTTCTGGTGGCCAGTCCCACATCGGTGTCAAAAGTTTGGCGCGTGTCAAACCGCTAGAAATGGAAATTCGGAACGAGGCTGACCATGTCTGCCACAGTCCACAATGCGCCTGGGTCGTTGCGCTCTGTGGGCAGTAATGCCAGTCTCAAAAGTACGAGCAGCCTCACTCGCAAGCCGAGGATAAGGGCCCGCTCCAAGACGGTCAGCTCCTCGACACCGGAGGGGGCCGCTGACATCCTCCCGCCCTCTCCTCAACTTCCGGGATACCTTTTCGGGGGGCAGGTCGTCACAGAGCCTGCTCAAGAGCCTGAAGCTAGTACTAGCAGCACTCGGCCCGTACGTGACTTGCATCATCCCCAATTCACACTTTCTCATCGTCTACAGGTCTACCAGGCTCCTCCGTCGGCCTTTTCGCGCATTCCCTCGGTCCCTCAGCTCTACGACCTGGGCCAGCGCGACTCTGTCCTCACACACGGATCGGGGTTCACACAGTCTGGTGGATCATCTTCCTTGTACCCAGCATCGTCTTCGACGGCCTCTGGGCCACCGTCTCCGCGCTCCTTGATGTCCCCGCAACTGGAATTCGAGTACGACGCCGAAATCGAGTCCCAAGGATACAATCCTGACGATGTGTCTGATCGACTGAGGCTGCTAGTCAAAAACACCTACTTCTTGCCCCCAGCACATTCTAAACCGTCGTCTTCGGACCTGCTGCCAGTGGGAGCGAAGCGAGGTGGTTCCGGCACCAAAACACCGACGACACCGACGTTCTTCGATTTGTTTCGCAAGACGCGCTCAAAACCACCCACACCAACTACTGCCGCCCAAACGTTTGACTTCCGGGCTCCCGCGCTTAGAACCACGTCCGATGGATCTGCAGTCACGGGCTACCCACCCCGGCGGCGCTCGGAATCGCAGACCCCCATGGGAACCAGGAGCCCATTGCCCAACGACCCTTCGGGACGAGTAGTCGTCGTGCGGGAGAAGATGGGTGATCTCATTGCCGCTGCGAGACAAGCCGAAGCGGAACTGAAAGCCCGGGGACCACTGCCGATATCAGCATCCCAGACTGGTCACCGAGCTACGGATGTTATTGACCCGACCGACGCAGTGGATCTTCCGCCCCCTTCCTCGGAATATCCATTCGCCGTGCAGGCTAGTGCGTTGCATGAGATGGGTGTGCAGGACTCGGTCGGCGCTGCTGTACTTGCGGAACGGCTGCCTCCTCCCTCATCCCCAAGTCCTGGAGACGACTGGCGGCGCGCATTGTTACATGCTGCGGTCGACCATTCATTGAATGGGTCGTCTGTGGTGCAGACCACGAGCAAGCCCATGTCACCCACCTCGGGTCTTTCCAGCCCGCTGATGTCACAATCGTCTGGGCACTCCATCTCGGACTCGTCGAGTGCACCCATTTCTCCGGGAAGGCTGATTGGCCAACGGATCATATCGCCGCCCCTCACTGACAACCGAGCGTCGCTTAGTCCCAGCCCTGCACCCGAGTCTTCGGACAGACGAGACGATGGTCTGATGCCGCCCCGACCCTCGAGTGTCCTGCCACGGCGATCTGAGACACCGTTGATGCCTTTGACCCCGCTGGCTCCGCCGCCAAGGAAACAGCTGGTGAACCCAGTGTACTCGCTGTCCCAGACCAGTCTCCCTCTCGACGGTGCAGCATCACGTGAATCAACTGCTACTGGCTCTGGCCGGCTTTCGGACAGCTACGAGGCCGGTATCCGAAACGCTCTATTCAGTCCGACACTCCAGAGCCGGTCGCACTCGTCGCTGCGGCAGAGCATGGAGAGTGATATGCATTCGATGACCGATTCGACCGTCGAGTTCTATTCCGATGCGGCTCCAAGTGCTGGATCGGATCGACAACCTTCGATGTCCGTCTCGATGTACAGTCAGCCCTCGCCGACGACATCAGCCTTCCAGGACGCGATCAATAGTGCACATACATTTCCCGGAGGTCGCCATCGCTTCGTAGCCACAGTCTGGACCAGTTCCGGCCTACCATGTCCTCCAGCCCTTCACCGCGTGACAGTGCAGTTTCGCCGCCACCGCGGACATCATCCTCGCTCGCGAACGTGATCACCCCTCTCTCCCCGCCTCCGAGGACACGGGCTTTCTCACTCAAAGCCCAACGGCCTCCAAGGTCACCGCTGAGACCGCAGTCGCCGTCACCGTCACCTCCCGTGCCACCAGCAGCGCCGCAACCGGTGCAAGAGATCCGCATCATGGACCCGGGGCCATCTACACCCCCATTACCAGAGTCCGCCCAATCTGCGACGTTCTCGACACTATCACTGGAGATCCCTCCCTATGGCTATGGGCTTGGCAGCGGAGCCAGGTCAGCGCCGCCTGGGACTCCCCCTTCCTTTTTCGACTCCATCCAGCGGATGCCCAATGCTATGGACGAACTCGAGTCGTCCGACGACGAGGACAACATATATTATGATGGCATCAGCTCCTCTCCCGAACAGACCCATGCGCCATCGTCCTGGCGCACTGCGGCGAACTCGACTGCAAGCGTCAACTCGATTGGTCTTACGCGTCTGGGCAATCATTCCTCGCCGTACATCAGCCGCTCAGCCGACGGCCACGAGCCAGTCGGCAACATCGCGTCCACCTCTTCGTTTTTCACGGAACGAATTGGCGGCAAATGGAGTGACTCGGGCCACGGACCGCCGACCTCGACTTTCGACTTTTACCAGTACACGCAAGCGACCAAGATCGCCTCGTCTGTCGACCTTCCGAGCACCGTCATCGCAGATCAATCACGGCCAAGCGACAAGAAGACCCAGGATTCCGTGAGACGGCTGGACGGAATGCTTCTGCAACACATGGAGGCAGAGAAAGACACTCTCCGCAGAATGGCCGCGTCGCTTGCCTCGAAAGGGAAAGAACGGGCCGTTTAAGTTCTCCACTTCACACCCATATATCCATATATCACCTATAACCGTACTGTACCACATACCCAGCTACTGCTCCAAATACACATTCCCTCTGCCAAAAACGGCAACTTCATTTCCAAATGGGTTTTTGCGTGTCACACAGCTCCTTTCGTCATGGTCTCCTGCCGGCGACTCTTCGCCCCCGTTCACGAGGCCATCTGACCTCTCGCGGCCAAGGCAGACCGCATCTCTTCGACTTCTCGTCCATGCCGAGACACCCAGCGAGGCTTAAAAGGCCGCCGCTCAGCAGCCAGCCTCCCATCCAAGAATGCAGCTCCTCACTCTTGTACTCGCACTGCCCATGGCCCTCGCGGCCTCAGTCGCCTACGACCAAACCTACGACAGCGGCTCGACCTCGCTCAATGACGTCGTCAGTAGCCCCCCATCACAGTGTATCCTCAAAGGCTGATCGCGCTTACTACCCACTGCCAGGCCTGTTCGGACGGCCCCAACGGCCTCGAGACCCGCGGCGGCTTTTCAACGTTGGGCCAACTCCCCAAATTCCCCTTCATCGGCGCGGCCGGTGCCGTCGGAGGCTGGAACTCGCCCAGCTGTGGCACTTGCTGGCAGCTGACCTACGCTCCCACCAAGAAAACGATCAACATTCTCGCTGTCGATCACGCTGGCCCGGGCACATTCAACATCGCCCTTGAGGCAATGAACGTGCTCACCAACAACCAAGCCACCAAATTGGGTCGCGTGGATGTGTCCGCTGTCCAGGTCGCCGCGTCGGTCTGTGGCTTGAACGTCTGAAGCGTCCGGAGACAAGTCGTGGATCATTTAATTGGCACAAGACGTGTAATAAATACAAAATAGTCGATAAATGAGTGTCGTAAATGCATGAGATGAGCACCAGCTCGCGTGAATTAAAATGATGAAAATGCATGAGTGATCATAGAGGAAATGAGTGGCATGATAGATAGCAATGAGAGCATGAAGGAATAGCGAAAGAGAGACAGGGCAGAGAAGCGTGACGGTCATGCAGCAGGAGGAATGATCGATAATGTGCAAAAAAATAATGTACAATAAACAGATAAATGGAACCGGGAGATCACACTCATTCCTCGAGCATCATTCTCTCCACAGAGCCACCGTTAGGTTGTGCCTTTGCCCATTCAATGGCGAACGATGCCGCCTTGAGGAACTTCTTGTGTGCGTACTTTCGGCAAACATATTGCCGCGAAAAGTTGCGTTCTGCCAGCTTGTCCACGAGCATATCGTGCCCTGGAATCAGCTCTTCTTCTGTGTAGCCCGAATAGAAAACGAATGCTTCATTCTGGAATGGAATGAGTGACACCTTCATAGACAAGTTGTACAGGAAACTCACCCAGTCGCCATCAAGCATCCGACGTGCAGAGTACATCCCGACCGCAGCGATCAAGCTTGGCTTCGCGCATAGGAACCGATGATCCAACAACGTGACTTCCGTCAAGAACTTGCTCAGGGTTCGCGTTTGTCTGTCATAGTCGTCTGCCTTGCTGATCTTGCGCATCCAGCTGTACGGCGAGCAGTAGTGCGAAACGCGGAATTCGAGGGTCTGCAGCATTATCCGTTCGCCCTTGAGAATCTCCTCCTTGCTGTATCCATTCTCCGTCATGAACACGAACTCCTCCACAGACGGGGCAAGGATCTCCTCGTACTTAGCCGCGATGAACATAGCTGTCACACCGACGAGCTGCAGCTTGATCAGGGAAACCGTTCGTTGTGTCAAGAAGCGGTCAACAATGTTGACCGCTATCCACAACGTTTCGGGGAGCATGTGATATCGCAGGTGAACTTGTAGCAGCCAGTCAACAAGAGTTTGGCGCATCGCCCAGGTAATTTCGTTCTGGTGGTCCATGTAATTGGAAGCAGGCATCATCTTTTCCTGCAGACCCAGTAAGTCATCAACTTCGAGGATTAGATGAGAAACATACCTCGAGATCGCTCATATATTCGAAAATATCTTCAGCGTATTCCGACACCATGGTCGTGTCATAGATGTCAACGTCATCTTGGAAGGTATCGCGGACAGCCTGGACCTCCTTCCTGTATTGAAGAGCGCGTTCAGGCGTAATGTCCGGCCATTGTCGAGGTTCGACAGGAGCAAGTGCAATGGCTTCATCAAGATCATCATCATCATCATCTTCGAGCTCGTCCTGGACGTCCTCTTCCTCGACGACAGCCATATCCTCGGCGTGTTCTTCGTTTTCGTCATCGGCCGCGGCCGCGTTCTGCGCCGCGATCGGCTCATACTCGACCTCCATTTGCATCGCGTCGGCCTCCGCGTTCTCCAGCTGGTCCACATGATCATCATCGTCGATTGCGACGGGCGGGACCTGCGCGCGCGTGGACTTTCTTTCAGGCAGGGGTTGGCGCGGCACGCGACTGGGAGGGCGAGTGTTGGTGGCATGGTTGACTGGAGGTTGGGTCCGTCCGGGACCCAGAGGAACGCGTTGAGCAACAGCAATAGCGGCAGAATTCGAACGGAGACGTTTCATGCCCGTCTCTAGTTTGTCCTTGTCGGTCCCAGCAACTGATTTACCAAGCGCGTCCTAGGCGACATAAGCGAAAAACCGCCAAGGGCGAGGAAATTCACGTACCTTTCTGTTCACAGCTGTCGTAGTGACCTCGCTGAGGACGGTGCGTGAATGGGCGGCAGGCAGCCTTGCCATAATGTCCTTGGCTGTGAAGCGAGACGCGCCAGAGGGAGCTATGCCAGACGACTGGCGGGCGTGTCTGCTCGTTGCGTTCTCGTCTGCTTTGGTGCGTGGAACTGGGCGGGTGCGCGTGGGCATCTGGGGTAACGGTGAGAAGAAGACAGTGGCAGGAAGGTCGCGACTCACGCGGATGTTGGTGCTAGCCATGGAGATGATGGGGATGGAGAAAGAGAGAGTGGAAATGGTGGATGTGGAAGGGAATAAACTTGCGGTAGACAATTCACAGGCCAAACGAGAGCGTTTGAAACCAAAGTGTGAATACAAGCGGAAGCAAAGGGCGCTAACTCTTCCAACGACCACGTGACCCGGTCCTAACCTCGACCAACAACGCGAAGGTCACTCCCGTGATCGCGGTTTTCTATCAAAAATGATGGGACAGCGTCATTATGACATCAATACATTTG